AGGAATCTTAGTCTAAACTTTGATAAGCAAGGGGGAGAAGGAGGGGGCGAAGCCAGGAGGGGGGATCTGGAGACTCTTGGCGGGAAACCTCAGTTCTCTCTTTGACTTTGTTCTGTATGGACTGAAATAAACTCCAAATCCGAGTATCCTGCTTGTGAGTGCGAGTTTTATTCTAAGATCCAGCGGGACCTGACACCTCCGCAGAGAACTTGAGAAGGGGAGTGTGCCCTTGTTTATTCTCTAAGACATCTCAGTGACTTTCAATACCATCGATCATGGTATCCTTCTGGGGTGGTTGTCTGGAATGGGTCTTGGGGGATCTGCCTTACAGTGGCTCCACTCCTTCCTTGAGGGTTGCACCCAGCTGATGAAGCTGGGGGACTCCTGCTTGGACCCGCGGCCTTTGACCTGTGGGGTCTTGCAAGGTTCTATTCTATCCCTCGTGCTATCTAACAACTACATGAAACTGCTGGGTGAGGTCATCCAGAGTTTTGGAGTTCGGTGCCATCTGTACGCAGATGACACTCAACTCTACTACCCTTTTCCACCTAATTCCGAGAAATGCTGGACCAGTGTGTGGTCACTGTGATGGGCTGGATGAGGGCTAACAAGCTGAAGCTTAATCCTGACAAAACAGAGGTCCTCCTGGTCAGTCGTGTGGCTGATTGGGGCATGAGGTGGCAACCTGTGCTTGAAGGGGCCCCACTCCCCCTAAGGACACAGGTCCGCAGTCTGGGGGGTCCTCCTGGACTCAGCGCTGATGCTTGAAGCTCAAGCGTCAGCAGTGCCTAGGAGGGCCTTCACGCAGTTAAAGCTTGTGCGCCAGCTGCGACTGTAGTTTAAGAAGCCTGACTTGACCATGGTGGTCCATGCTTTGGTAAGCTCTAGGCTGGACTACTGTGATGCACTCTATGTGGGGCTGCCTTTGAAGATGGCCCAGAGACTGCAGTTGGTGCAAAGATCTGTGGCCAGGTTATTAACTGGAGTGAATTACAGGGAGCGGTCAACCCCCCCCCCTCCTGTTTAAACAGCTCCACTAGCTGCCAATAAGCTTCCGGTCTCAATTCAAGGTGCAGGTTATTACCTATAAAACTCTAAATGGTTAGGGACCTGTCTATCTTCACGATTGCATCTTCACTTACCTGTGCAATCACTGAGATTTTCTGGGGAGGCCCTTCTCTCGCTCCCACCCCGTCACAAGCGCAGTTGGTGGGAACGAGAGAGGAAGCCTTCTCGGTGGTGGCCCCCAATGCTGGAACTCTCTCCCCAGGGAGATTAGGATGGCACTCACCCTGCCCACCTTCCGTAAAGATCTAAAAACATGGATGTTCCACTGTGCTTTTGATTAGACAGTTCCCCAGCTAATTTTTACCCCAGCCGTGATTCAAAATCTAGTCCTTGCACTTTACTACTGTTCCCTACCCAGAGATATAATGTTCTATGTCATATTGCCCTATACCTAATTCCTTGCACTTTATCCACTAGCCCTGTCCTCACAACTGTTTTGCACCAGAAATTACTTACTCTTTCAGGCTATTGGCTGTTGCTCGATGGTTGTTTTTATACTCTGTTATGTTGTTGTTCTTTTATATTGTTTTATGATGTTGTCTGCCTTAATTATGTTGCTATTTTAACTGTGTTATTATTATTATTATTATTATAAGAAACACAACAAGATGAGTCCACAGCAGACACTCTGCTGGCTGTTGAATTGGATCACACGTTGGACTCCTCCCAAGTGTCTAGGACTGTGTGATGTATTGGCAAATAATGTGTGCAGATCCCAGTAAGGTGGCCTTCTGCAGCTGGCAGATGGTAATTTTGTCAGCGCGATTGTGTTTAAGTGCAGGCCAAGGTCTTTAGGCACTGCACCCAGAGTGCCAATCACCACTGGGACCACCTTGACTGGCTTGTGCCAGAGTCTTTGCAGTTCGATCTTTAAATCCTCATATCGTGTCAGCTTTTCCAGTTGTTTCTCTTCAATCCTGCTGTCACCTGGGATTGCAACATCGACGATCCATACTTTGTTTTTTAACACGATTGTGAGGTCAGGAGTATTATGCTCCAAAACTCTGTCTGTCTGAATCTGGAAGTCCCAGAGGAGTTTGGCGTGTTCATTCTCTGTAACTGACCACCTTGATTAGCATTTAATGGCTCAAAAAACTCAAAAATTACAACTGCAAAACAACAGAGTAAACAATCAGCCACATCAAATCACTCTCAACAAAAGATTCCCCACAGGCACTTACAAGCCATTAAATGCTAATCAAGGTGGTCAGTTGAAACATTCACACCTAGCTCCAGCAGACAAAAGTCCTTTGTCCCACCCTGGTCATTCCACAGATATATAAACCCATTTTCCTACTTCCAACAGACCTCAATACCTCTGAGGATGCTTGTCATAGATGCAGGCGAAACGTCAGAAGAAAATGCCTCTAGAACATGGCTATATAGCCTGGAAAAACCTACAACAATCCAGTGATTCCGGCCATGAAAGCCTTCGACAATACGAAGAGATGCCTGCTTGCCTTGCAACTTTTTATGTTTCTCAAAACTTGGCAAGGGAACGAACCTTGGACAGCTCCTTCATAGCCTGAGTCAACCTCAGATAAAATTCACCAGAAAGTCACAGGGCATTTACGCATTCATACAACCTGGCCCCAACATGAGCCTTTAATCCAGTTTCAAACTGGTGTTGGAGAAAGTGAGCCAGGAAGCAATGCAAGGTACGGATGGGGAAGACACAAACTATAGAGCATTAAGGAGGCACCTTCCCGGCCTCTATTGCATGCCTTGCTGGGCCTTGTGCCCATGCTCTGTAACCTTTGAGGCTGCAAGGACCACCGTCTGCAGGGCATGCTCAGTACAGGGGGCAGTCCAAGGTCCCCAGGGTCTCCCAAAGGGGATCAATGCTATTGACCTCAATGTTGATTCTTCGCCCAACAATCGCTTTGGTGGGCCAACTCCAGTTGAAACAAACCAATTAGATTCAGGCCTGACTCTAAAAAGGCCATGCTTGGTTAGAAAACTCAGAGCAAACACATTGTAAAATGCGGGTACTTTTGTGGATGGGAACCACAGTCAGGCAAGGAGACAAGGCCCAAAGGAACAGGGCAGGGGGCCTCCCTGGCTGCCTTCCCTAAATACTAAAATAAATCATATTTATAATATATAAAAATAATTTATACATAATTATTTATTTATTAATTAAATTTTTTTCTTTATTAAAATATTTTAAAATATATTTGAATAAATTCATAAAATATTAATTCATATGATATATAAACTAATTTTTAATTTTTGTTTTTTACAATTAAATTATTTAAATTGAAATAAATTAATTATTTTATTGAATTTATTTAATTAACTACCTATTTAAATATATTTGAACATAAATTAATGCCTTATTTTAAATCGAAAATTACAAATATATTTAATTCATTTAATAATTAAATATATCTTTAAATTTATTTGAAATATCCTTTCTTACCTAACCATACTATAATTTCAATACAATAATATTAATTAAATCTCGAATAATTCCTTCAATATTATTTATAAGAGTTGTTTATCTAGGAATATATGAGTTCACATATCACATTACTGACTTTATCCCTCCTATTTATACTCTCCGACATTAATTATTAATAAATCTTTATCAAGTATTACTTTCCCTCATATAATAATTATTCATTAACTACAAATTAAACTAATTCTTTAATTTATCTGAAAATCAATTCATCACCTTTCTTTAACAATTACACCTATCCCTTTAATGCCATTATTCACTCCCTCTGCATCTCCTTCCCTTTCTCTCTCTGCCTTCCTTCCTTCACTCTCTCTTCCCACCTTTCTTCCTTCCCTCTTCCTTTCCCTCTCCCTCCCTTCCTTCAATTCCCCCTCCTTTCTTTTTCTTTCTTTCTCTGCTTCTCTTTCCTTCTTTCTCTCTGCCTTCCTTCTTTCCCTCTTTCTCTTTCCCTCTCCCTTCCTGACCTTTTTCCCTCCCTCCCTTTCTTTTTCTGCCTTCCTTCCCTCCCTCTTCCTTTTCCTCTACCTCCTCTTCCTTCCTTCAATTCTCTCCTCCTTTCTTTTTCTTTCTTTCTCTCTCTGCCTCTCCCTTCTTTCTTTCTGCCTTCCTTCCTTCCTTCCTTCTTTTTTCTCTCTCTCTCCCTTCCTGCCTTTCCCCCCTTTCTGCCTCTCCCTCCCTCTTTCTCTCTCTACCTTCCTTCCCACTTTCTTTCTCTTTCCCTTCCTACCTTTCTTCCCTCCCTCTTCCTTTCCCTGTACTTCCTCTTCCTTCCTTCAATTCCCCTCTCTTTTCTTTTTCTTTCTTTCTATCTCTGCCTCTCCTTCCCCTTCTCTTTGCTTTTCCCTCCCTCAGTCTTTCTTTCTCTTTCCTCTCCCTTCCTGCCTTTCTTCCCTCCCTCTTCCTTTCCCTCTACCTCCTCTTCCTTCCTTCAATTTCCCCTTCTTTCTCTTTCTTTCTTTCTTTCTCTGTCTCTCCTTTCTTCTTTCTTTCTGCCTTCCTTCCCTCTTTCTCTTTCCCTCTTCCTTCCTGACCCTTTCCCCTCCCCCTGCCTCTCCCTCCCTCTTTCTCTCTTTTTTCTTCCCTCTTCCTCTCCCTCCTCCTCTTCCTTCCTTCAATTCCCCCTCCTTTCTTTGTCTTTCTTTCTCTGCCTCTCCTTCCTTCCCTCTTTCTCTTTGCCTCTCCCTTCCTGCCTTTTCCCCCTCCCTCTGCCTCTCCCTCTTTCTCTCTCTGCCTTCCTTCTTTCTCTCTTCCTTTCCCTCCCAATCCTCTTCCTTCCTTCAATTCTCCCCTCCTTTCTCTCTCTCTCTCTGCCTCTCTCCTCCCTCCCTTCCTTCCTTCTCTCTGCCTTCCTTTCCTCCCTCTTTCGTTCCTTCTCTCTGCCACTCCCTCCCTCCCTCCACCTTCCTTTCTCTTTCTCTTTGTCTCTCTGCCTCTCCCTTTTCCTTCTTCGGGGGCGGGGTCTCCTACCTACCGCGAAAAGCGTGGCGTAGGCCGAGAGGGAGAACTTGAGGCAGAAGTAGGAGGCGGGGGCGGCGCGGAGGCCCCGGCTCCAGCCCATGGCTGCCTCCCCAGCCAGGCACAAAGAGGCCGCGCGGACAGGCAGGCAGGCAGGCCGGCCGGCCGAGGCAGGGACCGACGAGGAAGGGCAGGCCACGCCCCCTCCGCCCCAAGCCCCGCCCACGCCGCCCAAAGGAGCCCCAAACTTCCAGCCCCGGAAAGGAAAGTCTTGGGTGGCTTGGGAAGAACATGGGGGGGGGGGGGGGGGGGGGGCAAAGGGTGCCGAGTATCTCAAGGGACAATCCCAGAAATGTACAAACATGCCATCAGATCAGTAATTCCCTCCAAGTTATTATGGTTGTTGTACTTTTCATATCTATATAAATAAAAATGTCATGTTCGTTTGTGGGATTAGCAGAACTCAAAAACCACTGGACAAATTGACACCAAATTTGGACACAAGACATCTAACAACCCAATGTCTGTCCTTCACTCAAAAAAACTGATTTTGTCATTTGGGAGTTGTAGTTGCTGGGATGTATAGTTCACCTACAATTAAAGATAACTCCACCAATGACAAGGTGGGAAGTCAAATGACAACTCCACCAATGCCAAGGTGGGAAGTCAAATGACAACTGGGATCACGACATTATTTTCATTACAGGAGACTGGAATGCCAAGGGGGGAAGTCAAATGACAACTGGGATCACAGGCAAGCATGGTCTGGGAGAACAAAATGAAGCGGGACGCAGGCTGATAGAATTTTGCCAGGAAAACGCTGTGTATAACGAATACTCTCTTCCAACAACCTAAAAGACGGCTTTACACATGGACCTCACCAGACGGTCAACACCGAAATCAGATTGACTACATCCTTTGCAGCCAAAGGTGGCGGACATCCATCCAGTCGGTGAAAACAAGACCTGGGGCTGACTGTAGCTCAGATCACGAACTTCTTATTGCCCAATTTAGAATAAAACTAAAGAGATCGGGGAAAATACACAGACCAGTTAGATATGATCTCACTAACATTCCTAGCGAATATACAGTGGAAGTGAAGAACAGATTTGAAGGACTAGATTTAGTAAACAGAGTCCCAGAAGAACTATGGACAGAAGTCCGAGACATTGTTCAGGAGGCGGCAACAAAGTACGTCCCAAAGAAAAAGAAAACCAAGAAGGCAAAATGGTTGTCTGCTGAGACACTGGAAGTAGCCCAAGAAAGGAGAAAGCAAAAGGAAACAGGGATAAGGGGAGATATGCCCAGTTAAATGCGCAATTCCAGAGGTTAGCCAGAAGAGATAAGGAACTATTTTTAAATAAGCAATGCATGGAAGTGGAAGAAGACAACAGAATAGGAAGGACAAGAGACCTCTCCAGAAAATTAGAAACATTGGAGGTAAATTTCAGGCAAAAATTGGTATGATAAGAAACAAAGATGGCAGGGACCTAACAGAAGCTGAAGAGATCAAGAGAAGGTGGCGAGACTATACAGAAGATCTGTATAGGAAGGATAATAATATTGAGGATAGTTTTGACGGTGTGGTGAATGAATTAGAACCAGACATCCTGAGGAGTGAGGTTGAATGGGCCTTAAGAAGCATTGCTAACAACAAGGCAGCAGGAGATGACGGGATCCCAGCTGAACTGTTTAAAATCGTAAAAGATGATGCTGTCAAGGTGATGCATGCCATTTGCCAGCAAATATGGAAAACACAAGAATGGCCATCAGACTGGAAAAAATCAACTTATATCCCCATACCAAAAAAGGGAAATTCGAAAGACTGCTCAAACTTCCGTACAGTGGCCCTTATTTCTCATGCCAGTAAGGTAATGCTCAAGATCTTGCAAGGAAGACTCCAGCAATACATGGAGCGAGAGTTGCCAGATGTTCAAGCTGGGTTTAGAAAAGGTAGAGGAACGAGAGACCAAATTGCCAATATCCGCTGGATAATGGAGAAAGGCAGGGAGTTTCAGAAAAACATCTACTTCTGCTTCACTGACTATTCTAAAGCCTTTGACTGTGTGGATCATAATAAATTGTGGCAAGTTCTTAGTGGGATGGGCATCCCAAGCCACCTTGTCTCTATCCTGAGGAATCTGTACAAGGACCAAGTAGCAACAGTAAGAACTGACCACGGAACAACAGACTGGTTCAAGATTGGGAAAGGCGTACGGCAAGGCTGCATACCTCTCACCCAACCTTTTTAACTTGTATGCAGAACACATCATGCGATGTGCGGGGCTTGATGAATGCAAAGCGGGGGTGAAAATTGCTGGAAGAAACATTAACAACCTCAGATATGCAGATGACACCACTCTGATGGCCGAAAGCGAGGAGGAGCTGAGGAGCCTTCTAATCAAGGTGAAAGAAGAAAGCGCAAAAGCCGGGTTGCAGCTAAACGTCAAAAAAACCAAGATTATGGCAACAAGAATGATTGACAACTGGAAAATAGAGGGAGAAACCGTGGAGGCCGTGACAGACGTTGTATTTCTAGGTGCAAAGATTACTGCAGATGCAGACTGTAGCCAGGAAATCAGAAGACGCTTACTTCTTGGGAGGAGAGCAATGTCCAATCTCGATAAAATAGTAAAGAGTAGAGACATCAGACTGGCAACAAAGATCCGCCTAGTCAAAGCCATGGTATTCCCTGTAGTAACCTACGGATGTGAGAGCTGGACCTTAGGGAAGGCTGAGCGAAGGAAGATAGATGCTTTTGAGCTGTGGTGTTGGAGGAAAGTTCTGAGAGTGCCTTGGACTGCGAGAAGATCCAACCAGTCCATCCTCCAGGAAATAAAGCCCGACTGCTCACTGGAGGGAAAGATACTAGAGACAAAGTTGAAGTACTTTGGCCACATCATGAGGAGACAGGAAAGCCTAGAGAAGAAAATTATGCTGGGGAAAGTGGAAGGCAAAAGGAAGAGGGGCCGACCAAGGGCAAGATGGATGGATGGCATCCTTGAAGTGACTGGACTGACCTTGAGGGAGCTGGGGGTGGTAACGGCCGACAGGGAGCTCTGGCGTGGGCTGGTCCATGAGGTCACAAAGAGTCGGAGACGACTGAACGAATGAACAACAACCACCAATGATGGAATTGAGCCAAACGTGGCACACAGACTCCCATGTTGTTCATTCATTCAGTCGTCTCCGACTCTTCGTGACCTCATGGACCAGCCCACGCCAGAGCTCCCTGTCGGCCGTCACCACCCCCAGCTCCTTCAAGGTCAGTCCAGTCACTTCAAGGATGCCATCCATCCATCTTGCCCTTGGTCGGCCCCTCTTCCTTTTGCCTTCCACTTTCCCCAGCATATTGTCTTCTCTAGGCTTTGCTGTCTCCTTATGATGTGGCCAAAGTACTTCAACTTTGTCTCTAGTATCCTTCCCTCCAATGAGCAGTCGGGCTTTATTTCCTGGAGGATGGACTGGTTGGATCTTCTCGCAGTCCAAGGCACTCTCAGACTTTCCTCCAACACCACAGCTCAAAAGCATCTCTCTTCCTTCGCTCAGCCTTCCCTAAGGTCCAGCTCTCACATCCGTAGGTTACTACAGGGAATACCATGGCTTTGACTCCCATGACCAACAGAAAATACTGGAAGGGTTTGGTGGGCATTGACCTTGAGTTTGGGAGTTGTGGTTCACCTACATGCAGGGAGCACTGTGGACTCAAACAGTGATGGATCTGGACCAAACTTGTCATGGATATTCCATATGCCCAACTAGGAACACAGATGGAGCTTGGAGGAAATAGACCTTGACATTTGGGAGTTGTAGTTACTGGGATTTATAGTTCACCTACAACCAAAGAGAATTTTGAACCCCAAGAACAATAGAATTGGGGAAAACTTCCCATACAGAATCTGTATGACCAATAGAAAATACATAACACCATCCAGTCTAATTCCATTCACCAGGGCAAGAAAACAGGGCAAGAAATACTGTTTACCCACAAGCATAAAGAAATTACATGTATTAGAAACCAACAGTTTCACAATACTTTATTTTCCAGATAACCAGTCTGGGGCCACAGCAACGCGTGGCAGGGGACGGCTAGTGTGTGTGTGTGTGTATAGGCCCAAAATGTATGATGTGGGGAAGCGGATTGCCTGGCTTTTGGTTTTTTGCAAAAGGTGCCTTTTATTGCAGAGACAGAATGATCTGCATCCCATTTAATGACATGCCGAGCCTTTTGTTCTTGTGACCATCGCCTTCCCTCCGCCATTGTTTGCAAGATGAAGAGAGAGAGAGAACCAAATTAGGAATGCCTTAATTAAAATGCCAGCCTCTTTATGGTGAGGAGAAAGGAGTTTACTCCCAGAAACAGATGGGAAAGAGAAAGGAAAGACTAACAATGTCATTCTATGCACCATGGACCCTGTTCATTTCTCTTAATATTTGAAAACAAAGCCTTAGGAGTTGTTTAATAATAATAATAATAATAACAATAATCCTATGTATAATGGGTCCCATTTCTTAATTTTCTCTTAATTATTGCCTCCAAAGTCCCAGGCCTTTTTCATGCACCATGATATTATTATTATTATTATTATTATTATTATTATTATTATTATTATTATTATTATTATTATTCTGACACAAAAACACAGTATGCCACAACAAATGAGATATATATGCTGGGTTTCATATCACAAAATCACAAGTCACAAGTGTGGTGGAGGCTCCTTTGGAAGCTTTTAAACAGAGGATGGCCATCTGTCAGGGGTGATTTGAATGCAATACTCCTGCTTCTTGGCAGGGGGTTGGACTGGATGGCCCATGAGGTCTCTTCCAACTCTTTGATCCTATGATTCTATGAAGTCGAACACTTCCCAAGCGTCTAGGACTGTGTGATGTATTTTCAAATGATGCACGCAGATCCAAATCAGGTGCCTTTTTGCAGTTGACAGATGTTTATTGCTTCCGAATGCTGGCTGAGATCTTTTGGTGTATTGTGTTCCAAAACTTTGTCAGTCTGGATTCAAAAGTCCCACAGTATTTTTACGTGTTCATTTTCCACTACCTTTGCAGGTTGATGATCCCTTTACCAGACTACTTGTGACATAAGTTCCAATTAATCATTTGGGCCACAGAGTTGTGCCTCTGTCTGTAGTCTGTGTGATTTTCTTGCGGCAGCTGAGGAGATGATCCATGGTCTGCATTTTGGGTCATCATCTGATTTTTCGATCCTGGCCTTAATTGTATTTGTTC